CTTGGTTGTGCTATAAAAAAGTAAACTAACAGCCTCATCTTTGGTAAATTTCACATTTTGAAAATGTAGCATGTTCCCAAAGTTTCACATTTTCATGTTTTATTTTGACATGAAAAAAGGGAGGAGTTATAAACACATTATGTCGGTGCAGACTGAGGAAGAAGATATTCCCACACACTTGCTCCAATTAATTTATGACACATTTTCAGTACTCTCATGAACTACATAGGGGCGGCTGTGGCTCAGTTGGTAGCGTCGGTCGTCTCTCAGCGGGGATGTCAAGGGTTCAATCCCCAGCTCCTGCAGCAACATGTCCGATTTGTCCTTAAGGAAGACACTTAACCCCAAGTTGCTCCCTCTGCTTTGTTGGTGAGGTATGAATGTGGGATTAGTTAATAATGATGGACTCTTTACTCAGCAGCCTCTACCATCAGTGTGTGAATGTGTAGGTGTGACCTGTGCTGTAAAAGCACTTTGAGGAGTCAGAAGACGAGAAAAGAAATATACAAGCTCAACTCCATTTCTCATTTCCTGTGGTGTAATGAACTTAAATTTTGTAAAGATTTCAGGGATAACTAGAAAACTAGCTGCACATGCACAAACTGGTTAATCTCTGGGCGTCAGCAGCTCAGTCTGCAGAGACTCACCACATCAAGTCATGGTGCGGAGTAAAGTTGGTCTGGTAGCTGGAGATGTGCCAAGCCACTTCCAGAGTCCTGCAGAGATGCTCTTGAGGCCCCACTCTGACATGTCTCCATCAAAGTCCACAGGTCCTGTATGTGTGTGTATTTCAGGACTACCTGTGTGAGAAGTGTGTCGCTCAATTTCAGAGTTTCCCCCTCAGGGAATTATAAAGTATGTAAAAAAAAAAAAAAGAGTTATGAAGTTAAAGAGCGTGGCAGTAAAATGACTGACATAGTGTTATGGGAGGTCATGTTGTTTGTCTTGATTTTTTGACATGCGTTTGAATATATGCCCGAGTAACCCTGAATGAACCGACAATATGGAGCCTCTGCATGCTGTTGTGTTCTCTCTCTCTCTCTCTCTCTCTCTCTCTCTCTCTCTCTCCATGAATCCAATCAGTCATGTGTCAGATATGGAGTCGGTGGTTCTGTCAGGTCTTCAGCTCTCTGTTGGCACTCTGTGTTATTGGGATCGATTCCAACACTTTAGTTCCCGCGCAGACGGCCGAATACACTGAATAACTCACACGCCCGATCAATACATATCAGCATTCTTACACCTGGATACATGCGGCATGTAAACATGTAGAGCTGTGCATCACACAAATCACTCTACAACGTGTGTGTGTGTGTGTGTGTGTGTGTGTGTGTGTGTGTGTGTGTCAGGCACAGGGCCGGCGTTCTATTCCATTTCTTTTCCCCTCCTACTTTAAAAGACCATTTCCTCCTGTTTTGAAGTTTGACCTCTTGGTGACCTTTGTGAATATTACTGTCCCTAAACCACTCTCTCTTGTGTTTGTATTTAAGACACTTCAAGCTTTAAGAGGAGGTGAGAAGAGACACAACTCATTACATCACATCTTTACTACTGACTGCGAGTGTTGTAGTACTTGAAAAAGACCGGTCTCGAGACCCCTTTTTGAAGGTCTCGGAATCAAAAGCATTTTGAACCGGTCTTGTCTCGGCCTCAGACGGGATTTTCAATCAAGACCGTTCAAGACCACCACTGATGTGATGACTGTGATTAGAAGGAAAACTTCTCTTTTTAAAAGAACAAAAAATGTCAGTTCATTTGTACTTTGATTTGTTTCCCCCGGATACGGCCGCCTCAGGATTTTGATTTGAGTTATTTTACCCAACTTACATGCACTTCCTTTGTTTAAATTGTGCACCTTCACTTTTTACAATACATTGTCAGGGGACTTTGATCTTCCGCAGCTGGGGTGTCACAGGCGGCTTCGGCCTTCGTCCCCTTAAGTACAGACCCGAGCTGGAAGCTGTCCGGTGCGATTGCCTAACACCTTGTCGGTGTTACGGTCTAAGTGAGGGACACGCCCCTTAAACACAAGATGAGGATTCTTCAGAGATATTTATTGTCTTGGTCTTGACTCGTTCTCGCCCTGCCTTGGTCTTGGCCTTGGTCTTGGCCTTGGTCTTGGTCTTGGTCTTGGTCTTGGTCTTGGTCTTGGTCTTGACTCGGTCTCAGAGCACTCTGGCCTCGGGTCTGTCTTGGTCTCGGTTAGTGTGGTCTTGACTACAACACTACTAATTGCATTCTCAAGAAATGAAAAAAAAACATATTTGATTGTGGCAAAAGCCTTCCATCTTCTACCAGAAGTTACTGTATTTCAAAATAAAAGCATAGGTGTAATTAATCAGGAAGTAAATAACCCTTAGCTCAAGACAGTACAAAACTTAAAGAAAAAGAGTATGTCACCTGATTATAACCTCCGACTGGAGCTGTAAAAACACTCAATCTAAATAAATAACTTAAGACGGCAGATTCAGACCCAGATAAACGGACTTGATAAGTCCAGCTCTCCCACCGAGTGCCCCCCCCCCCCCCCCCCATAAAGCCCTCACACAGCAGGCTCAGGCACAGATGTTTTCTTGTTTGCAGCCTGTTTGCGGTGGTAAACGTCCCGTGGTGAGCATCGCCCGTCAATACGCCTGCTCCTCTTCAAACACGGCCCCATTGTCTGAACCCCGGCTAATACAAGAAAAGGAGTCGTATTATCCCCCCCTGCGCCTCCTGCTGTGTCACTTTTACAAGCGTCCGTGTATGCGGCGGCCCCTGTGATTCTCTTCCCCCACAGCGTCTGTCAGGAGAGCTGGCTTTACTTCTGGTTTGCTCGACTCGGCTCTGGATTCAAATCGCTGGTGTCCTGCCAGGGCCCAAAACATCTCCTCAAAGCCGGGCGTGCGGCTTATTGGCTGCACGCTCGGATGGATACTGATGGAGGTGCTGCACATCGGGCGCCACAGCAGGAGCGTCTGCTCTGTGTTCAGTGTGTTTGAGGGAGAAGCTGTAATGTTCTTTAATGTGCTACATGTTTATGCATGCAGCGTCCCGGCTGTCTGATCTGCTTTACAACACGCTCTCAGACACACAGATGCATGCACCCTTCATCTCCCCTTTGTCTGCTCACACATACAGAAACAGAAAAATTCTCCTGACTTCTTTCACAGGACTGGTTCCAACATAATGATATGTCTGAAGCAGGGGGCGACAGTCAGCTTAGATCAATAAATGATAAAAAAACAAACACCTTAAAAACACTTCAGACCTGCAGGTAAACCTAACATCTGTACGAGAATGCAAGTCTGAGACGAAGCCATCAGTGACGGTTCATCCACCTGCTGTACTCTCTGAAATACCATATCTTAAAAATATGATGTTTTAAACTGTTAGGCCCTGTGTCCATCTGTTTTTGTCTGAGGGTCAGCGTCTTTTTAAAATTGTTTGCAATGAGTAGAGAGTGTTCCCAGCAGCTGAAAAAGCCCGGCGTCCAGCGCTTTTTTTGTGCGGCCGCCGCACAAAGGGCTCAAGTTAAAAAAATCTTTTCAGAAAGGCGCTGTTGATCTCTCGCGCTCTTTTACAAATAATAATAATAATAACTTTATTTATATAGCACCTTTTAAAAACACAGGTTCGCAAAGTGCTTTGACAAACAGCAAAAACAAGAACAAACTAAACCAAACACAGAAGAACATAAACAACAACAAGAACATAACAAATGCAAAATACTAAAAATAATTAAATACAGTTCAACAGGAAAGAACCCAAAGTGCACGATACACAACAGACATATAGAACCTGATCATCACAAGAACCATCATAAGAACCATCACAAGAACCATCATAAGAACCATCATAAGAACCATCACAAGAACCATCACAAGAACCATCATAAGAACCATCACAAGAACCATCACAAGAACCATCACAAGAACCATCATAAGAACCATCATAAGAACCATCACAAGAACCATCATAAGAACCATCACAAGAACCATCACAAGAACCATCACAAGAACCATCATAAGAACCATTATAAGAACCATCATAAGAACCATCACAAGAACCATCACAAGAACCATCATAAGAACCATCACAAGAACCATCATAAGAACCATCATAAGAACCATCATAAGAACCATTATAAGAACCATTATAAGAACCATCATAAGAACCATCATAAGAACCATCACAAGAACCCAACAACACGAGCTGAGACCAAGAGGAACCAAAGATTTAAAAAGATGTAAGAAACTAAAAGAGCTAAAAGCAAATAAAAAGAGAACAGCAATAAGAAGGTAAGAGCAGTAGATTCAGACAGCAAGCGTTTCAATCCCGGTGGTTCCAGTTTTGTTTCTGTCTTCTTATTGGATAGCCTGCAAAATATTGAGTTTATATTTTTGTAGCAAATGTATGACATTCCCCGTTTTGTCTCGTACCAACATCCTCTTTGCTCCGTATCTGATCTCAAATATAAAACATGCAGTAAAAAGTAACGGAGCAGTGTCGGTCATACAGCGGCCGTTGTCAACAGACTGTTGCCGGAGAGACAGGACGGACGTGCAAGCGCTTTTCTTATCAGCGTACAAACGCTTCATGCAAACACTCCAGATCGCTCAGCCAGCGCTTTTCTTCCCGGAAATAAACGCTAGGTGGACACGAGGCCTTAGGCTGAAATCAGGATGTACGATAAGTTAAGATAGATTGACTATTTGGAGAAGTCAAATATCTGTTTATTATTGTTGCATATATAAAAGTGTAATTTTGTACCACCAAGCTTCATTGAAGGAGTCTCATAAGAAAAATGTTCTCTTTGTTTTGTTGCTTATTGTGCAGCCCTGCTTGTGCAAAACTGTGGGAGTGGATTTTGAATTTGCAGAGCTGCTCTTTACGGTCAAACTCTGACGAGCCTGAACTGAGCTTCATGAGTTGGATGCTGGTCGATATCATCACCCTGCCGTTGACACGGGAATTTTCACATTTGAATGTTTTCTGATTTTTTGTCTTTCTTCCTGCAGAGAGTCAGAGTGTGGAGGAGTGTGGAGACAGGCTGAAGCAGATCCTGGAGTCTCCCAGCGTCCCTCAGGCCAACCACCAGCTCCTGGTCCACCTCAGCACACACCTGGCCCGGGTCAGCCAGCAAACCCAGGCGGCCCCCCGGCTCCTGGGGCAGGCCTTCAGCGAGACCGTCTTCCAGCATTCCGCTGTCAGGTAACCCGACCTTCACCTTTTGTTGAAGTGAACGTTATTGATGTGTTCTTCTGCGTTCTGATAGGCAGTTGAACAGCTCAACCCCTCCTTTTAATCTGCAAGTCAAGGTGTATCAAGCTGCTGGTAACCATAGCAACAGTGTTCAAGCTTCAGACTCCATTAGCAGACGCAAGTGCTGAAACCAAAACCTCAGAGTCCGATTTAAACACATCCTCAAACTTCAGTACAGGCTAAAGAACACAACGCAATCCATCCAAGTCCTTCCATCAGGACTTCATGATGTGCATCACTCCTCACCTAACGGCTCCTTCATTTGTGTCTTCATCTATTCAGATTCCAGTCAGGGTTGTTAGTCACAGTCTCCGTCTCTGAAGCGGAGGGAGGAAATGATGCTCCCTTCGAGCAGGTAACAGGAAAAAAACCAGGCCGAAACCTTCAGAAGAGGAAACCTTTATGTGAGGCACTACTCATGAAAGTCTTTCCCATTGCACACTCTGTGAATGTCCTCATTAGTCATGGTGGAAACACAGCAGCCTCTCACATATTGGAATAATGAAATGTGTTTATAGTAACGCTGCCAGAGTCAATTGCAGCTCCGTCATTTCAATCAGGAAGAAATCAACACATCCAAAGATAAACTGTTTGACTTTTTGGTGAATGTTTCATCAGTAAGATATAAACTCAATACTCTGCCGGCTATCCAATAAGAAGACACCAGAAACAAAACTGGAACCACCGGGATTGAAACACTTGCTGTCTGAATCTAAAGTTCTTGTGTTTTATCTCATCTTAGACAAATATTCTGTTCAGTCTTAATTTACCATTTTACACACATATAAACTCATTTGGCTTTCACAGCTGCAGAAAGCTACTGACAAACTCCAGATATTTCCAGGAGGAGCTGCATGTGTGAACGCAAACAGACACATTCACCCGGAGTTTCTCCTCCAGCCTCTAGTATCTTTTCTGCAGAAAGTCAGAGTGAGCTGATTTGAGAACGCAGCAGGATGTTATTAGGAGAATTCACCTCGAGCCAATAAGAGGAAGGAGTTTTGTTTATATCCTGTGACTGCTGCATGTTGCAAAGAGTGTATACTGTACCTGCCAATTAATTAATTTCTGATAACTGTGCCAACCTCTCGATATCGCTAGAAAGAAAGTGTATGCTACAGACACTGTTATAATTATTTCCTTCCTTTTGTTCCTTGGTCGCACATTTCCCTCAGTACATGTTTGATGACCTGTAGAGTATTATTTTCTAAATCATAATATGAAACTCTGACATGTGGAGGGACTTCCCAAAAGGCTGTGAAATGTTGTTTATTTCATTTTCCGTTCTTGGCGTCACAAACGGATTGTTTGTCCTGAAACATCTGGGTGGAGAGGGTTTCCCCGTCTCATTCTTCATTCATGAATCAGACCGACAACGCACTCAAACTTTCTGTCTCCATGTTGAACCCTGGGCTGAGCCACCACAGACACTCAACAAGCGTCACTCAGATCCGTCGTGGATGTCCAAACGACGTGTTTTTGTTCTTGTTAAAACAAAAGCGTGATTTTTGACACAATAAAACGACTTCCTGCAGGTGAAGCTCTGACTGAACTCTGAGAGGACGACGTCAGCACCGCTGATGTTGGTGTGTTTTTGTTTCTCTGCACTTGCACGAGCTCGCCTGTGTCTGCATTTGTTTCCAGAAATTACCGAGGAATGTCTCCTCGTGGCGCTGTGTGCGGCAGAGGAGATGTGGTTAGGTTTTTGGAGAGGCGAGTCAGTGAGTCAGAAAGCGTGATTGTTTGTGCACGTCACCTCTGACGTGCACGCCGAGGATACAGAGAGGGGCGGGGGTATCATAGCATGCTATATTATCTAAACCAGTCGACATGTTGGCTCGTTTTTATCTGAATGGAAACGTTGATTTATTTGAGATGGCTCTGAGATGTATACTCTGCAGTCTGGAAGTCATTAAACAGTCACAGCTATTTGAATGTTTGGGCTTCTTATTGTCAACAAACCTCATGGAAAAAACCCATTTAAATCAAAACTACTAACTGCTGACTAAAGGATACGGCGAGCTCTCGCTGGCCCCTGAATGTCCGGGGGAGAAGGTGTGAATCTCGCGCCAGGCCTTACCCATACTCAATGGGAAGTCGGCCAATCCGATCTGTAACTTCAGGAGGATTGTAGAGGGAATGTTTGAAACAGTGGAGACCAAACTCAGATTTATCCATCATTCACACCAACAGGCGGACAACGTCTGTGATGGCAGGACGACAAACATCCAGAAGCAATAAGTGGAGCGTGTTTAAAAATAAATGGAAAACATACTCATGTGGAAAAATGAATCAGAATCTACCAGAAATCTACAAACACTCAAAAAGAATCAAGTTGGAGAACTAAAGGAGAGAAACCTTGTATTTATTTGAAGTTAATGTTTATGTTGTTGTTTGGTCATTTCTTGTTTGGTTTGTGTACAGCTGCTCATGGCCGCCCTCTGCTGAGCTCGCGCTCCAGAAACTGACCCCGTGGGGGCAGGGCGCATGGCCCCGATGGAAAAAAACCCTCGGCTGAGTATGTGGAAATTGGCAGTTACTGTCCCACTGGACACAGATTCACCTGATGGTCTTGTGAAACCGGACACAGATCCACCTGCTGGTCTTGTGAAACCGAACACAGATCCACCTGCTGGTCTTGTGAAACCGGACACAGATTCACCTGCTGGTCTTGTGAAACCGGACACAGATCCACCTGCTGGTCTTGTGAAACCGAACACAGATCCACTTGCTGGTCTTGTGAAACCGGACACAGATCCACCTGCTGGTCTTGTGAAACCGGACACAGATCCACCTGATGGTCTTGTGAAAACGGACACAGATCCACCTGATGGTCTTGTGAAACCGGACACAGATCCACTTGCTGGTCTTGTGAAACCGGACACAGATCCACCTGATGGTCTTGTGAAAACGGACACAGATCCACTTGCTGGTCTTGTCAAACCGGACACAGATCCACCTGCTGGTCTTGCTTAACTGGACACAAATCCACCTGCTGGTCTTGTCTAATCGTTCACAGATCCACTTGCTGGTCTCGCCTTATCCAATGGATTCTGTTTTACAATCCCCATCAGAACGTCTTCCTGAGGATTCAGGCTCACAGTTTTCTGTAACCGGACACAGATCCACCTGCTGGTCTTGTGAAACCGGACACAGATCCACCTGCTGGTCTTGTGAAACCGGACACAGATCCACCTGCTTGTCTTGTCAAACCGGACACAGATTCATCTGCTGGTCTTGTCAAACCGGACACAGATTCATCTGCTGGTCTTGTCAAACCGGACACAGATCCACCTGCTGGTCTTGTGAAAACCGGACACAGATCCACCTGCTGGTCTTGTCAAACCGGACACAGATCCACCTGCTGGTCTTGTCAAACCGGACACAGATTCACCTGCTGGTCTTGTGAAACCGGACACAGATCCACCTGCTGGTCTTGTGAAACCGGACACAGATCCACCTGCTGGTCTTGTCTAACCTGACACAGATTCACCTGCTGGTTCCACTTACCCGGACACAAATCCACCTGCTGGTCTTGTCTAATCGTACACAGAACCACTTGCTGGTCTCGCCTTATCCAATGGATTCTGTTTTACAATCCCCATCAGAACGTCTTCCTGAGGATTCAGGCTCACAGTTTGCTCTGTCTGTGTTCGGTCATACACTACTTAATGAAAAGTTCTGAAGATTAAATCCCTGAGAAGAAATCATTCCCGAATTTTCTTTATAATGAATCAGTCTCTCTATTGATGTCAAAGGTTCTCTAGTTAGTAAAATAATCTTTCTGAACACGACGGCTGCTCAATCTTGAATTACTTCAGAGAAAATGTTTCCTCTCTTTCTGTTGAATCCAAACTCTTGGGGGGAGAGTTTTAGGGAGTGAAGAAGTAACCGTCTGGACTAAGAGGATGTTTTAATAATCTCCTCATCCTCAAAGATCTCAGGTGCTCAAAATTTCTGAGAAAGACGAGGGGCTGATTCCTGAAAAGCAACGCCACAAGGTCTCGCTGCTCCCCGGTCTGGGTTCAGCTCCTGTGCTGTGCATGCTCTGGTTTTTAGAGCTCTTTATGTTTTTTCCTACTTATGCTAACCCACTCAGGCTTTTGATAAGATTGATAAGATTTCCATCAGGACAGGATTTAGTGGAGGATCAGCACAGCTCGTGTTAACGTGTGTCATTTTGTCAACAGTGCGGATGTTAACCCGGAGCATCACGTCAGGATCTTGGAGGCTCTGATCACAGCAGGAGGTCTCATGGAGATGCAGGCTGCACCAGGTAGGGTTTTCCATCTACATACACAAAGAGGCTCAGAACACGTCCTGTTTGCTTTTCAATTTGTGACACTGTTTGGTGGCATTATGTTGAGAATTACGGCTAAGCTTGGTGTGGATGCTTGTGAGTCTGGAAAATCTCACACATGCAGTTACATTCTATGTTTTGTCTACTCCAATGTATGAAGTTTGTTCCTCGAATTTATCACCACACATATCTCTGAGAGGAAACACGACTCTCCCTCACTGCACCACAAACTGCAGGGAAAACACACGTTTGGTTTGTGAAGTATGTGGACAAGACAAACACTCTGCCCCGGGCTGCCGTGATAAATTGGGCATGAAGCATGAAATAACAGCTTTAGATTTGGTTTACTTTTCATTCTGGATGTATACGGCTGATGGTAACAAAACAAAGCGGTTTCAGGATGTTTTCTTTCATTTCACATTCCTGCTTGCTGCTGGAGCGTTTCGTTTGAGAGCCGGCGTATGAATGAGAGCGTGGCCGATCTGGTTTAGTGTTGACGGACTGTAGAGTATACAATTATCAAACCTCAGGATCTTTTCTGCGAAAGCATATAAGAACAACATCCTGACCTCTGCTGAAAAGTTCTGGCTCAGACTATTGTACTCTAGAGACGCCGTATTTAGCCGGGTTAAAAAAGGCTCCCAAACATAATCAAATCAAACAAGCTTTGTCTTTGAGTCTTGGCTGTACGTCTGCTGTAAGGACTTTTTAGAGCCTGAGTGTCGGGTTTTAGCAGCCGCCATCTTTTTCTATTGGAACCAGAATGAACAATATTGTGAAGAGAAGGAAGTCATGCATCTCTACATCTTTATCCTGGTTGATAGCAGCCCCTGCCTTATCAAAAATGAGACCATCATTTGTACCATCAACATCGAGATATTTTGAAGACGACTTGAAACTAGCATTTGAGTGCATAAAGTAAAAACTCTGAAATAGTCTCTGTGATAACCAAACGTTTGGAGTCTCCCCCTACTGGCAATGGGAAAATGACAGAGAACCTGTGTCCACAGATCGTGCTTTTTGCACCGACAGCGCCAACATCCTCCGTTTCAGAGCACTTCTCACCAGCGTTCACTGTTGCTAGGATACAAAAACTTAACTTTCCTTTCCCCTCGGTAATGTCCATCATGTGTGTTTTCAAAAGCTCTGTGTGCTTAATATTTGCTGTAACTCGAGTTGAGAAAAGGGTCGTGTCCTGGCATCAGCAGCTCTACACCTGGAAACTGTTCCCAAGAAAAGACAAGTTGGACTGTAGGGCTGTGCTCGAAAAAATCGATTTGGCAATATATCGTCATGTGCTCCATGCATATCGATGCAGATGTTACAGAATCAGCTGTGATAATGACAGTTTTGAAAGAGACCTATGGTGCTGTTCACAATAACAACATCTCCATAGCTCTGGGATTCAAATATTTTTATGTATTTCTAGGATCTCTGAGGACCTGAACTGAAGTGTTTTAAGTTGTGGGATCCTTAATACGCCTCTGCTGTTATTCTCAAAAATAAAGAACAGCTGTTGTAGAGAACTCCTGTGTAGGACATGGTCATTATCCAAAATCAATACAATGCGCATCGTGGCCTCTGTATCGAGATACGCATCGTATCGTGGGGTTGTGGGAAATACCCAACCCTACAGGACTGGCGTCTCTTTCACCATTGTTGTTGACAAGGCTGATATCAGAAGTCCGGCCTCTTCTTGATTTTGATTGGTCTGTAAGGGCAAAGTTACATTGATGAAACTGGTGCTATTCTAAAAGTAGAACTGAGAGGGCTTTGAGTGCAGCGACAACAAACACTCTGACACTGAGGGGTGGTTTAGCGCTCAGAACTTTGAGCACTTAAACTTCATAGGCTTTGGATTGAAAACAGGCCGTCTGTGGACACAGGCCCTTAAGGTACCGCCACATTGGCTTCACTTTAGAACACGAGAGGCTAAATTCACTTCTCATATACCGTCTGTGGTCGGCAGAAAATAAACTGCTTTGGAGAGATCAATCCGGCTCTATAGGACGAAAGAAAGGTCAGACAGCAGGTGTGTGGCTGATTACAACAGCAAAGGCAGTCTGCTGAGGTCATTGCCTGTGGGTCAGCGCTTGTATGTGTGTGTATAAATGTCAGCAGGTCAGAATGTGTGTTTGTGTGTGTGTGTGTGTGTGTGTGTGTGTGTGTGTGTGTGTGTGTGTGTGTGTGTGTGTGTGTGTGTGTGTGTGTGTGCCGTTGCACTAGTCTGTTAAGGTCAGTGGTGTTAAGGCCAGGGTCGACATATTGGTGGTTGCAGTGATTATAGTGGCTGCTGACGGGTCAGGTTTTCCTTGACATGGAGCAGTCAGTAGTTCACTAAGAAGCAGATGAGAGTCTGATTTATGGTTTAAACTTGACGGGGGAAACATAATCTGGGCAATCCAGGTTTTTCTAACACGCTTTGATAAACAATGCCATCACCTGATTTTTTTTTTTTTGTCACGGAGCAGGACGGGTTAATCTGTATTGCCTCTATGTGATGATGGACGACGTTGCCAGAGGCATTCTGTAATTCAGTGCACGTCAACAAATCCCACTCTGGTGAACGAAATAAATACTTAACGAATAGGATGAGAGGAATTTATTGCATCCTTTTTTATGTATCTATGAGGGAATCACACTACTGACAATCCACTGGTGGGGAATCTCCCTCTGTTTCAAGAAACGCCTTCTGATGGGATGTGGTGTACCCTGTTTTTAAAAATGCTGCAAGCTTATTGGTCCAATTGTTTTTTTAGGGTCAGATCTTATTCTAAATAGTTTAAATATATTAATTTGTCCCCTATCACAGCCTCAGTTACACTGTCACTCCATGGAAAACGAACCTTTAAAATGTTTTTATTTATAATCTGCCTCAGCTAGTTTCTTCTTTGGGGCGTCCCACAAGGTACCATCCAATGACCTCTTCTTTTTTTATCTTTCACACTGCTTTTTCAGCACTTTTCAAAATATAAAGGGATACTTTCTCTGCACTTATGCTGATGACACTCACCTTACACTTCCTTATGTTTAGTGTTCTTAAGGCGGGGCATATGCAAAGCAAATTCAAGCCCCTTCTGTCCGGATTTTTGTGTCCGGCCAACTTTCATCCTGATTGCATGTGCAGCGAACAGATAAGCATGAGAGCCAATCAACCTCTGTTGGTGGAGGTTTTAAAAGGAAACTTTATTGAAAATTGTCAACGCTCTGTCCCGATCATGATGTCCCACTCAGGTCGTGTTTGACAATCAGGCCGCAGCGTGAGCACATCCTTCTTCAGCTTTGGTTGTGCGTCATAAAGGATTAACTCGTACAGTGTGAGATGACAATCCGACAGCACATTTTTACAGTCTTAACATCACTATTTTTTATACCTTTAAGACTTATCTGCTTCGGGTCAAAGCTTTTGGGTTAGAGATTGTAGCTTTGACAAGTTAATGTGGTCTTATTCCCTTTTTCAAGATATATAAAATGTTACTATCTATCACTAAATTGCCACTTGAGAGAGAAAACGAAAAGGTTAAACTAGGAACACTAAGCTAAAGAAACAGTTTTCACATTTAATTCTTCTATGGTGCCTTTCTATTTTTGGAGAAAGCAGCTATAGTATGTACCCTTTGTTGTCCTTGATCTTAAGGCCATTTTGCATTGGTGTGTGAGTCACTTCAAAGTTAAACACACACACACACCTCGTGAAGCCACAAATCAGACCCAACAGAAGGTGGGACTCCGGTGTCATTCGTTCGATTTCCATTTTTTGTCGGTGACTCACAAAAGGACGGGATGATGTCTGGAGGACGATCAATTATTCATGGCATAAACCATAATCCATCCTGCAGGGTGGTGGGGGGTAGAATGGATACATCAGGGGTCGGGGACCGTGCTGCCACTGGAGATTTGTGATTTTTGTCCTGATTCAGAATATCTTTAAAATGCTAATGTAGAAATGTAGCCTGATGGAAAGCACACAAAAGGACATCCAAACATGCACAGGTTGATTAACAAAAACACAGTTGACATTTCAGCGGGCTCCTCCTCAGGGTGTCCTGCTTTGTGCTTCGGCTTCCTCATTTGCTTTTTTTTTTGTCTCTTTCATCTTGTTTTGACTTTTTTTTGTGTTAAAGTTCGTTCTCTATTGATGAATGCATGCTCTTTGAACACTCGGAAAGTTATTTTTCAAATCAAGTCAGGAAGACGGAGCGGGTGTGCATATATCTGTGGGATTATTTTCTGTGTCTCTGCTAAGAATTTGAGTGTGTATTTTTGTGTTGGCTGACAAGCTTACATCACAGCAACAAAAGGACCAGAGGGAGCTGTTTCTTTTTTTTTTTTACCATCTTTGAAGTGTGTCTTTTGTAACATCTCTTACACAACCCTCTCTCGCGCGCTGCTGGGTGTCTGAATAAATCCTCATAGCCCTCTTGGTGCTTTGTAATCATGGGTATGATGTGGGAAAATTGCACTGATGTAACACACTTACACAGTTCTCCATCTTGGCTTAATCTCTCCGGAGCTCTGTCTTTGTCTTATTTACATGTAGGCTGGTTTTGCACGTATCTGTTGATGAAGGCAGCCGAGACATTTTCCCTCTGAATTCGAGAAACTGTGACAAACTCTGACCAGACTAGAAACACTCAAACAGTTAACTTTGGAAGCAAATAGTGCTTAACTGGATTCATCATTTTGTCAGCTGAGTCATATTTGGCTGTTCAACACCATTCTTGGACTACTCCTTTCTTTGTGTACAGTTCAGTGCCACAACAAACTTTGTATTCAGCCTATGTGAGTCTTATATTTAACCTTATAAGACTCAAGTTGGGGTTTTAAGAGAAGCGGCAACTTGAGTCCTATAAAAGTAAATTAGGCCAAACAGACACACATATCAAGTTTTACAACTGTATGAGGATTTATGGTAATTGCCATTAACGGGCTAACATAATTAGCATCCATTGCTTTGGAGGGAAATCTGATCAGAT